TAGATAGATAGATAGATAGATAGATAGATAGATAGATAGATAGATAGATAGATAGATAGATAGATAGATAGATAGATAGATAGATAGATGCACAGGAGGAGGGATGGATGGATAGATAGATACATGGATGGATAGATAGATGAATGGATGGATGCATGGAGGGATGCATGGATAGAGGGGTGCATGGATGGATAATAAGTAAATTTATTCTTTACAGATTGTGTAGAAATTGATAAAAAAAATATGCTACAGAGGAACAACTAATGAACTCTAAATGATGCACAAAGTGCTTTATGGTGGAAGAGTAAAAAAAACAAAACAGGATTGTCCTAAAACTTTTGCAGAAGTCCCTTAACACCTTCCTAAAGAATGAAGTCTGTCCTTCATTTGTATAAAAACCAGATGGTTTTCAGAATTCTAGTCAACAGAAGCAATAACCTATAAATTCTCCTTGTATCCCTCTGAGAGGGAAAGCTGGTGTGAGGAAGTGCTCTGACTAGGAAAGGCAAGCCCCTGAGAGAGAGAAACTCCTATTTAGGCTTATGTCATAAAATACAAGGACATGGACCAGCCGGGCTGAAGCACAAACAATCCTGATCTTTATGGGGAGCGGTTTACATGCAGACAAGGCTCATCGCCCTGTATTAAAACATAACCTGAAACTGGCCCATATAAATCTCACAGGGTGTGTAAAAAGATGAAAGAATTGTACTTTGAATCTTGATAACTCCAAACTTTTTGGCAGCGGGTGTATTAATGAATGAGGAAGTACGTACACTGAATGCAGCATGTACAGTGCAGCACATAAGTATTCATACTCCGAGAACACTTCCATGTTACTGTATATTTAATAAAATCTCATTTCACTATTTTATTTTGATTTATTTCTGATAGAGCACAGTGAGTAAAGCATAATGAAGAACAATTATTACAACTAAAAGTGTGTGCCATGTACTCACTGTGGCACACAGAGGCCTGCATCTCTTCTCTTAAGGTTGCTCTTAATAACGTTTGTTAAAAACTGCATTTAGCAGCGTTTTAAAATATAAAGATTAATTTCTTTTGTTTTTTACTGCCTTTTAATTTATCAATAATATATAATCAGAACACGCAATGAAACTCACAGCCTTAGAAGTCCTTTTTTCAACTATTCCCTGGATGGAAGGCTGTTAATTATATTTATGCCTCCCCATACTTTGTCAATAAATATGGAATCTCAATTCTTTAAGTCAAACTTCGTAAAAGTTTTATATTTTTCTCTTTCGTAAAATAAATCCACTTAGAAATGAAATTCTGGTCTATTTAGCATTAAAATACTGTATGCATACAACTTAATAAGCTAGTTTTTAAATAGAATCTGTTGGCAGGATATTTATTGGTAATTTAGCCTTTATGGAAGAGTTTTATTTAAAGCTGTTATTTAAAGAAAGCAATAGAAAGTCCTCACTAATGTTACAAACTTTACTTGAGAAGGTGATCTACAAGGTAAAAGCTGCGTGGCAGAAAATGATTAATCTAAATTCACTTTCTAAAAATGCAAATTCATATTGTCTGTAGAAGTTAATGGGAGTGGACCTCCTGTTATCTACCCATGAGGTGATGCAAGTGTGTTACATTGAGCTACTTCTTAGGTGCTATTAAGCTTTTTGTAAGATCTGCTGCTGTATTTTCTATTCTGGAGTCATTACAACACACTGACTTCTAAAATTTGACTTGATAATAAGGTTGAGTTGGTTAAATTTGTTTGCTCGATCGAAAGAGACATAAGAAGAAATGTTGCAATTAGCTAACCCACTTACGGTAAGTCACCTGCTTCCAGCTTGTATAACTGCAACGTGAGTATATCAACGTCCATTAATTAAATCCAGCACAAAAATATTCAATAAACAGACAAAATAATTCTTATTAGCATCTGTTCAATTCAAACTCACACCACTAAGTAACACAAACTTAAGTCTACAATTTTGGATTTAATGAGCTTAATTAATTTGTCTTTACCCATTATGTTAAAAGTAAATCTAAAATTGATTTTGGCTGACATAACTTGATTACGGTAAGTAAATTAAACATATGATTTTTTTTTTTTAGAGCACCATTAGCATGCTCCATGGTAATGGTAGCATCATGCTGTGGGCTCCCTGCATATGGTGTCAGTATTCTGCCAAAGGTCCACATACATAATAAATACTCCTACGAGGAGCTTTACTTCATACAGACGTTCATTAACTCCTCTCATGTGCATGTTTAGCATATTACATGTGCAAATACAGCCGTAATATATCACACATGAGTTCTTGTTTCTTCTCTCTGCGCGTGTGGTTTTATTTCCTCGCATGCGCAGCCTCCCTCGTCCTCGTGTGTAGACCCGTTTCTGTACTATTCTTCCTACTAGCAAAGCAACTTCAGGCTAACCGCTTCTCTTTTAGAGTTGGAAGTCGGTCAGATATATCTGATATAACATAGTCTAAATGAATACTCGATTCTGATTGGCTGTAGGGTGTTCATTAAAAAGGATTATAGGACATCTACAAAAACGTTCTGGTCAAAAAGCCCGATAGTTTCCTCTGGCTCAAACGTTAGTAGGAAAGCAGAAGACCGTGCATACTGTTTACCTTGATGCGTCACAACTCAGGATTTGGGATTTCCTGTAAAGTAGCCAATCACAGACAGGTTGCTTTGTTCAGTGTGTAAAGCTTTCAAAGTGACAAAAGTTGACATGAGCGAGCAGAAACAGGTACACACGCGAGGAGGAGGGATGAGTGCGCTGGCTGAAAAACGAACAAGCATTCGTCTTAGTAATATATTGGGCCCCTGAGGTACTCCATTTACACATGTAGCATGTTAAACATGCACGAAGGAAGAGTTAATGAGCGTCTGTATGAAGTAAACCTGCTCATAGGAGTATTTATTGCACGTGTTGACTTTTTGGACATTAATGACGCCATACCAGTTATCCTGCAGTGTTTTCGTCAACAATGAGGATGACAAAATCATATCATTAACGCTCCTTTTTTTTCATGACGATAACGAAAACTGATGAGTTAAACTTGGATCTTGGATGACTAAAATATGACTAGTCATAGGTCAATGAGACGAGACTAAATAAAAATGAGCAAGTAGTCATTCAGACATTTAAAATCAGCCGCGCTGCTGCGTCCTGTTTGATCCTGCCGCCCACCTGCCGGCAGCGTTGCACATTCTGCAGGAGCACAGATGGCAGCAGCAGCAGAGTCTGAGAAAATAACCTGGAAAGGTCCTGTACTGAGCGCTCAACTCTGACAACCTGCTCTGTTCTTTCAGCTGTGTTTTTGCAGAAATACGTCTTTGCGCCGCTTAGCTTAGAGTCTGCACTTTACGCTCCACACTGATGGTTCGCTCTCAGCAGTGTGGCTCTTCCTGCTCTCGCTGCTTGATAAACTATGTGGCTGATCATCCTCTGCCAAGCGTAAAAAATCCCTTTGTCTAACCATAAAGATTTTATTTCTTCCAGCTCAAAAAAGGTGATACTAAACATTCTTTAGTTTCTTACAAAAGGAATCCCTAAATTAAAGCCAAATAAAATATTTCACTGAATTCCATGTATTTTTGAGCCAGATGAAAATGTATATAGATCTTTGAATATTTATCTCTCATTGTTCTTGCTTCTATCTATTTAGATATGATGTAAATGTTTCCTTGTATTGTCCTTCAAACATTCTATGCTTCCTTTAAACATGTCAACATTTTAGTTAGCATATTCATTCAATTTAGGTCTAGATTGCCATGGCATTGCAAAGCAATAATGAAGGTTCTCTCTGTATATTTTATATCAAAACCCTGAGAATTTAAATCTACTTTGACACCTGAGCAGCGGTAACTAAGGGGCAAACTCTCAGAAATAAAGCCATAAATGCCAAAGAAGAAAGAATGTTTTTTTTTTCTTTTCTTTTATGAAGCAATGAAGATTTTATTGATCTGAGTGTAATGCATAATTCATAGTAGATCAGGAAGTGTTTGCTTTATGATGGAAACCTTGAATGTCTAAAACCATTCCTTTATTGTACATTTTGTCAGGCTGTCTGTCTGTTATATAAAACAATATAATGTTTTGAACTAGATCTGCTATTTTTACAGCTTTTGTGAGACATTTTGTTTTTAAAGTACGGCATTAATTCATGAAAACGTTTATTTGAATTCTATAAATCACAGTTTTCTGGCCTAGAGCAATGATGAACTGCACAGCAGCATTCTATATCCAGCAATTGTAGTATCCAGGCAAGGGCTGTCAGTATGAAGGCTTTTAGAGGTTTAGTTCACTAAAACTATCAAATATAGTAATGACTAAAATGCGACTAAGTCTAATTATAATCTTCATCCTGAAGAATAATACTAAATCTAAGATGGCTGTCAAAAACAACACTGGTACCCTGAAAGTAAACCTGGTAGAGATGTAAAAGATCTAGGTAGGTAGAGGGTCACCTTTCAGCAGGACAACGACCCTAAACAGCTGGACTTATAATGGTTAAGATCAGAGGATATTGTTGGAATGACAAAGCTAAGGTCAACACTAAAATATAACAAAGAATGAGTGGCAAAACCTGATTTTTAGTTCTCAAATATGCTCTCCATCCTGAGTTTTGCCAGGAAAACACTTTATAGCCCCTATTCCGTTATTTAACACCACTTTCTATGTTGTTGATGGACATAAAATCCAAATGAAGAACAATTAAATTTAGGCTATAGAGAAGCTGAATAAAATAAAAGCTATACAATCAAATACATTCTTAAATGTTTACTCCTCCTTGAGCATTTTCCCTGTTTGGGTTCCCACTGTTAGTCTTTAAAAGGTGTTTAGCAGGCCGAATAAGGCGCACCTTTATCTGTTCCTCTGGGAAAACAAGAGCACATGAACAAACCTGTTCCAAAACACCTGTGACTAAGCCTCCGCCTCGATGAGCCATGTGTCACTTCAAATGGCAATAGCTCAGGAGAAGCCTCCATGGCTTCATTTTGTTACCATAACCTCTCTGCTGCAGCAGGACATGATGAAGAAAAAAAAGTCCTCATGAGGAACCGACTAAGTGTTTCACAGGTGACGCACGCAACAGCTTCAGTGACACACGCGTACAACCTTTGGAAAATGAAAACATCTTATGAGGAGTCACTTACGCACACATGCCCACACACCTCACTCCTCATCCCACCTACCCACCATCTCCTCCACTCTCTCTCACACGCACGCTGGGGATCGCCCATTTGTGGCACAGAGTCCCAAATGGTGGTAAATCAGATCAGGGAGTCAGGGAATACAGACAGACTGAGGATGGAGACGGGAAGGAGAGGGAGGGCGGGGGGCACGAAAAAGAAAAAGGATGGGAGGAGGCAGGGAGGAATAATGAGTGAAGGGAGATGGAGCACAGAGGGAGTGTAAAAGGGAGATTATGAGCCGGCACGGAGGTTGCTTGAGGAAGATCAGATGCAACAATATGAATGATGGGGAAAAAAGCGGAGGAAAAATATGTAAAAAGGTCCAAGAACCCATTTTAGTTAGACTTTCCCTGCATTTAGACAGAAAGACAGGAACTAAAGAGTGTCATCAAAGCACCGCCTGTGGCTGTACCACCAGCTTTACAAGAGACACCATAAAGTGAAGAGTACAGTACAGACATTAAAACCTTAAGCAATATCAGATGGATTTAAGAGGGGGAAAAAAAAATCCGAAAACTGAAATTGCTATCTAATTTTTACTCTAAACTCATAAAAGAAAGTTTTTGTAAAACTTTAGCCAATTTATATTTAAATTCAATTTATTTCTATATCATCAATTCAATTTATTTCTATAGCACCAATTCACAACACATGTCATCTCAAGGCACTTTACAGTTCACCAGATCAAACAGTCAAATTGATTTAAAGTTTTCTATCTAAGGAAAACCAGCTGATTGCATCGACTCAATCCTTCACACTAAGCATGCTTGTAGCAACAGTGGAGAGGAAAAACTCCCTTTTAACAAGAACCTTTCATATCCGTTTTTATTTTTTATTTTATATCCATTCTAATTCCTAAGAAGATATAAAAGCCACTTTGAAAATATTTTCCTGGTCTTCCTGTCATGAACAATGATTATTTATTTATATTAGAAGCAGTTGGCAATATCCCCAGTTTTATTGTAGTTTCCAACAGATCAGGGATTTACAAATATTTTCAATTAAAATGCTAGAATTAAAAAAGAAATGATGATGTTTAATTTATGAAAACCTAAACTCTATGCTTGTTAGTTTTCCAAAAACTAAACATATTTTCTCTCCACTGTGCTATGAGCTGAAGTCCTGCTCTCTCTCGCCCTGTCGCAGCCTTTATTATCCACTGATAGATCGGTGTCTTCTTACCATCTGCAGAAAGATTGCAGCCAGTTGAGGAGGAGTGAGTCTGGAGAGGAGTGAAACCAAAACAGCACACTCTTTTTTTTTTTTTTTTTTAGACAAATTTGACTTCACTGAAGGAGAAGAGCACCAGGAAGACCTTAAATGACCCTAAAGTGTCCCAAATTGACCAACACTTATTGAGCTTTGGCTCTCCGCGCTGCTAAAAACACTCACGGGTAAATCCACGCTGACATCCGTGCCGTCCAGCAGCAGGACGCGGCAGCTGATGGTGCTCCTCGCGGTCCCCGCCGCCGGGATGTGGACCGTGGCTCCCCCGCTGACCACGGCAGGTGCGTGGACTACCTGCTGCTGGTGGGGCAGGAGCAGGGGGTTCCCCGTCACCCCTCCCGCATCGTCCCGCTCATCCCTCTCTCTAACCGGGAAGCGGGAGCGGCGGCTAAACGTCCGGCGCAGAAAGCTCATCATCTTTCTGATCCGCGGCGTGTCCGTGGAATCTGCGCGGCACCGCCGCCGCTGTAGTCCGGCTCCTTCCCCACCTCCCCTCCCGAGGCGAGGAGTCACTCAGCAGGCTGGGAGGTGATCAGCCGCATACTAATAAAACTGCACCGGACCGAACCAACCAGTTGATTTCCACTCACTGGCTCCTTCCTCCTCTTTCTCCTCCTCCTGCTCCTGTCCTGTCGGTCCACCTGCTCTCCTCGCTGTTGCGCACAGACTCTAAATTCCCGGAGAAATCCCGTCCGCAGCGGGGACCCTGAGTCACACCGGAGAAAGAGAAAGAAGGGGGGATGATCTCTCACTTCTGGACCGAACAGAACCGCTGGCTGCTGCGTCTTGTTCCCATCGACGAACCGAAACCAGCAGTTTACCTCCCAGGTAAAAGTCAACCAGTGAAACTGGACAAACAGCGTGATCTGCGCGTGCGTAAAAAAAAACTTATTTGCCTCCTGACGGGTCGACCCAGGAGGTCCAGAGAAACAGCGCCACCTGTCTGTCAGGGACCCCACCTGGAGCACCGCAAGGGGCCCTTCTAGGTCCCCAACCTCATGGAGGGACCGTTTATTTATAAGGCATCCGTTTAATGAATTAATCTTTCAAAAGAAAAGAAAAAAAAAATCACTTTTCAATTCAGTGTATTTATATAGGGCCAATTCATAACACATGTCATCTCATGGCACTTAACAGCAGGGGCGGAGATAGATGGGGGGCCAGGGGGGGCCATGGTCACCCCTGGCAGTAGTGATAATCTCAAGTGGAATATTCAAAGCATTTAAAATTTTCATATATTAACAATTACTTGACAACAAAAACACTGTGGATAATTATGCACATTAAAATACTAAAATTAAAGATGATAAGTACAGAATGTATGCTCTTTCCATAACTAGATGTTGTGTTTTATGGGTTAAAGAGAAAATTATATAATCTACATAAATTGAAATAATCAATTTACTTATAAATATACATTTTATCCAGAGTGATTGTTGATAAAAGTAGGTAACTAAACACAATGGAAAAGATGTTCACCCCAGAACTCAAATCTGAAAAGATTTTATCCACTATACCTTTTATCTAGAAAGCACGGATGTTTAAATGTATGCGGCTATTTGTTAGCAAAGGCTGTAGGAAAGTATAGTTTGTCTTTATTTAGAAAATATGGATGTTTTGCTTGTTAATTTTCCTGTTGGAAGAATGTAGATTGAACCTGAGGTTCTGGTGCCACCCATCAGTGTACATTGGTTATTGCCTGGCCACCCTAATAAACATTTTCTGGCCATGCCTCTGCAATCTCTCGTACTAAGCATGCTTGTAGCGACAGTGGAGAGGAAAAACTCCCTTTTAACAGGAAGAAACCGCCAGTAGAGCCATCTGCCGAGGACGACTGGGGTTCAAGGAGAATAAAATGAGAAATATATTTATAAAAAACATAGCTATATGTATTTTTGGGTTTTTTATTTCAAATATACAAACAAGATGTCTGAGTGAGGAACCTTTTAGAAACCTTGCGAAAGTTCATTAGGGTCCAAAGGTTTTACAATAAATTACAACCAAAAAAAAAAAAAGTACAAACATAACTAAATGGTTAGTTTTAATTTTAGATTGGACGGAATATACATAATAAATCTCTTGTTTAAAAAATACATGCTTATATAAGCCTGTTTATGGCAATAAACGTTTACTTTCACTCATTGTGTTATGAGTAGGCTACCTTAACATGAGAGAAAAAAGGTTTAATTTTGCTTTAGAGAAAGTACTTTTAAGCCCAGTCAAATACATATTTAGAATTTATTGTTTTGGAGATGTTTTGGACATTTCAATTTATTTCAAATAACGCCATCATAAACAGATAACTTCTGAAACTCAAGGTGTAAGCTGTATGATAAAGTATGTAATTTAAATTTAGGTCGTAATAATCTAAAGATACAAGCAAACTTTATAATTTATGCTCAACATTTTTCATTAATAATAAAACAGAAATGTAAAAAAAACGAAGCTAAGTTTTACAAAAGAAAAAACAAGACTTAAAAACTCCTGCTAAATACCCTAAAGCCCAACGCTGCTTTTTAACACTTTGCCACCTCGTTGGGACTTTTATTTCCAATGCAATAATTAATTTACTGTAGGTGAAGGTTATGAATTAACACTTAAGACTGCAAATATTAACTTAGAAAGATTGTATTCAAACAAAAACTTGTAAGCATGGATAGATAACTAAACTTTGCATTAATGTTATTCAGCAACAGATGTTATAATTCCTAAACCAGTATTTAATTTTAATAGCTTCCTGTAATCCAGTATCTTCTAAGATCCAGACAACTTGAGCTAATTTGCATTCCTTCAACAATATAGAATTGGAGGCTAAATAGGATACCACACTTGAGTTAGCATCCTTATTTTGTTTAAAAGAACAGGAAACTTGTATCCATGTAGTTATTCATAGAGCTACTGTAGGAAATGAAGCAGACACATCTGTATAAATCAATGAGTTTATTTAGAGTTTGAATAATTTAAAAAGTGATGAACAGTGAATCTGGTGCACCTCTGGCAGTCAGGAAGCAGCTCTGCTCCCTCCTTGACTTGATATCTGCCACAGCCATCTAGTCAGCTTTGCTCTTCATCTCAGGAGTCAGAGATAAATTCAAAATTACAACAGTTTGACTCTGCCTCTGCTGTCCTTGATGGATTCAGACTGGAAGGCTTCAGTCTAAGGCACATGTAGCTTAACAAGTAGAAGCATCATTCCCGAGAGGCCTCTTGAACAGAAATTAGCAGCTCACGTCAGTCCTACATCAGTCTCTATGGAGACCACAGTCTCTATAAGCTTAATGTACCTTTTAGCATTTAAAAGTCCAACTAGGTTGAATATTTGTACTCTTTCCTTGCGCAGACAGCTGTGCTCTGCAGCTTGTTACACTCTCATTATCAAATGTGTTCCACTGCCATAAGCCTGGCTGAGTTTAATCTGTTAGAGCTCTCCAGAAGTCCCCTCCTGTTAACAGAGGCAGGGCAGTGCGCCTGGTCTTGTCCTGCCGTTGATTCAGATTACGTTGCTTTTGATTCCTCCTGTTTTTCTTTGTAGACTCGAAGGGCCGCCTCACATACAAACTGGAACTGACACTAAACAGAATGGAAACATAAGATGTTAGAGGCAGTCAAAACAAGAATAATGTTAACATGGTCAATAAATCTCTTGAAATGCCTTATGATCATTGATTTTGTGCTTCAAATAGGTCTAAAAGCTTGGTGTATTCACAGACCTCATCTAAACACTTTTTTTTATGTTGGTGGGTTGGATAATACTCAGATGTGCAGAGGGAATTAATCATTAAATGAAAAGAAAAAAAAGTCTGCCAAACATTTAGCTTGTCCAAAAGTTCAACAAAAATAAATGGATCTCAAGGTCATCAAGATATATCCTCTTAGACAAACTCATATCTAAATGTTTCTATCCATCCATGCTGAGCTTTTTCAGATATTCAACTTGGCACCAAGTCAAGGGATCAACAAATACACTGGAGGTATTGTGCGCTGAAAAAAAAGAAACTTGTAAAAGACTTGTTGTAAAAGAGAAAGTCAAACCATTTAGTTTTTATTCTCTCTTTTTTCTGCTGATATGGTGCAAAATACACAATATTAGAAGATACCAGTGAGATAACACTAAAAACCCCTGTTAATTTAATGAACTGTGATTCAGTCACATTTATATGGATTGGATTCATTAGTCACACCCCAATTAATGCCTAACCTGCAGAAGAAATAAATCAAAGAAAAAACAAACAAACCTTTCTGGCAACATGAAGTAGGCTACAAAATGTTAAAGCAACATGTCCAAAAAATCTGAAAAGGGGAATAAAGCTATTTCTAAAGCTTTGGGACTCCAGAAAAGAACAGTCAGAGACATTTTTCATATTATTTTTCACACATTTCTACATAATTCATCAAAAGCATAAAAAAAAAAAACACTATTATATTCCCTATTTTACCTAAATGGTTATGAAATGCTTTACATAAGGGCATGAAGTGTCTGAAGCAAAGTGGGCGTATAAATGCGCATAGGTGAGGGGGGGGAACTCAACTAGTGTTTCCAGAAAAGTACCCTTCCTTTTTCCAAAATCAAAAATGTGAATTGGTTTCTAACCAAAACTTTGCTTTCTAACCCAAAAAGGGATGGCATCAAGATTATGAGACCAGGTGAGTTTGGAGTAAAACAAAGGATGAAAGAGTGAGGACATCCGAGTCATGCTGACGATAAAGTACAGTGGAGGATCTGTAATGATGCGGGTCTGTTTGTCATTTAAATACCCTGAGGATTTGCTAAGAACATGTGACATTTCTGGGATGGTTGTGAAACGATCAGAGAGCAGCAGCAGCACTAGTTCAGATATCATCCGAAAGATAAAAATAGCATTTTTTTTAATGGGGGTTTCAATAATTAGATAGGATGCAGTTTCTTGCTCTTAATATAAACAAAAGATAAAGGTCATCTGACTGTGCATGTTTTTATGACAGAAAGGCGTGAGGGAGGACCTGAGCAAGTCTTCATCAGCACATCAGAGGATGAAGCCCCAGTGTTCTTTCAAAATATGGGTGATGGTGGTAGCTCCCAAGCCAAAAAAGAACATTTTCCCAGCATGAGTAGCTCTCTCCTGTCCCTCAATGAGGAGCTACAGAGCCCGGCTTTCTGTCACAAATGCTCGACTGAAGCCTCTCATCATCACTATAATACCAAAGCAGTCTGTGAATTAATGAGAGTCAGAGAGGTGGACTCCCCCCACCCCCGCCTCTTCTTTGAAAAGTGCTGAAGGTGATTCTTGGAAAAATCTTGAGCCTGCAACTCAATTTTCATTCTTGCAGGAGCCCTTTATTAAATCGAAAAGATGAAATGTTTTAAAGAAACCTAGACCTCAGCAGAAGTAGAGGAAAATATGAGGATAAAAACAGTTTTACTGTCTTTATTCCATGGCTGGTTTGACTGACTCATAAAGTAACAATTATTGCAATAATTTTTAATCGTTTTGAACTCATCATAAAGTAATTGAAAAGAAATTTAATCAAAATACTATAACAAACAACTGAAAACAGGAAAGGTCGGATGTGTGGCAGACCAACTCAAAGTACAGCCTAATTCTGAACCAAAAAAAAAGGATACATTACTTTATCATACTTCTTTTTACAAATATTATCTAAAAACGGTGGTAAGACTATGTGCTTTGCTTGTGTTAAGAAAAAGACACATGGGGCACTGAATACAGTTTTCCACAACATCTGTAGGAGACATAAACATCTATAAGTGGAAGGTTACATGAAACTAAAACTATATTTTATTTAATTAAAAGAAAACGGAAATGTTTGATGGAATACTTTTGTGTTGGAATTGCAATATAAGTCCAGGTTAAATCTAACAGTTTTAAAAGCTTTTGTTCAGAGATGCTATCAAAATCAGGCTCAACAGAGACGATACAAGCTCAGAGGGAGTAGTAGAGGAAGGGAAATGATTCAGGGATTTTAAAAATCTGGCCTGTCTGGCCTGCATGCCTAATCAGTCCTTCTGACTTCATTACATGTTCTTAGTAAAAGAAAGGCAGTGGGTTGAAACAAACCCTGCAATACTACAAGGACATTTTTACTATGAGTGGATGAGTCCTTATAATTAAATGCTGTGTTCAAATGAAGCAGGAAGCATAAGACTGCTTGGGGTGATCATCATGCAGCATAATAAAGAAATTAATGAGCCGAACAGCAGCAGCGTCATTTAGGAAGAAAGACTTTAGTTTTCAAACTCAGTACCGTGGTCTGAACCATCATAGCTCGCTGGTCTCTTAGTGTTTTAACAATGTCCAGCGGGAACACCGGACGACCCTCGTCCAACAGACTCAGCGCCGTCTCCATGGTGATCAGAACACCTGTCCGCCCAATCCCTGCACTGAGGTAGAGCAAAATATAAAAACTGAGTTCAATTCATGGTAGCTGGCTAAATGAATAATCCAGGAGTGTTTAACTGAACTCTACCTGCAGTGTACCATCAGCGGATCTTTGCCTCTTCTCCTCTCCCTCACCGAGCTGATGAAGAGCAGGAAGTCCGAGGGGTCGTCGGGTACGCCGTGGTCCGGCCAAGCGACGTACTGCAAGTGTGTTACTGCTCGCTCCTCACCTAGCTTCAAGTTTTAAAGAAGTGGTTGGAAAAAGCAGGTCAGTAAGAATATTGTCCAATAATAATCTGAACTTAAATATAGGCAACCTTTGGAAAATATCCCTACTGAGAGATGGAAACACTGCGGGAAAACATCCACGTGATAAGAAAGGGAAATTAGGAGGCAATGAGACGTAAAAAGGATAGAGGGAAAGACTGGAGGAAAGAAACAAGGAAAGGCTGGGAAGAAAAAAAGGCTGACTATGGCTTTTCCAACAGACATGTGGCCTACGATTCCATGCAAGGATTAATTTGCTCTGCCAGAGGAGCAGATGGGTCCACACAGTGGTATCTCTGTATGCATGTGTGTGCATGTTCATATTTCATGCCTCCTAGGGTGTAATCTGTTTGTTTACCTGTTCACCATGGAGGCTGATGTGGAAGGTAGCACCTTTAATCTGATCATCTACCCTGATCAGGAGTAAACTCATAGCATTCCCACAAAATGCCTCCATAGCCCTGCCCAGCGCCTCCCACAAGCAGGCAGAGGGGGAGAAAATTAGGAAAACACACTAATGCACAGGCTCACCCACACACAGACTAAAACACCCACACGGAAGTGACAGCGTGCCAGCAGAAGCCGCCACCTGCAGCGTGCTCTGCTATGTGACATATGGCATAAACATGCTACACATTGCTGCAACATACAACCAGATAAATATGACAGACTCTGCAGGCCGATATCATAGAAAGGGATTTAAGCAGGTGTTTAACAAGGGCTGCAGCTGATACCTGTGTTATTAATTATTCATTCAGGAAAGTCTCAAAATAAGGAAAAAACAAAACAAAAAAACACCTACTAAAAGCTTTTAGTCAATATTACACTTCATTGATTATTTGTCCGAAATATTCCAGGGAATAATTTGACCTATTAACTCCAAAAACATTGACGTACATAAAAAAGGCATAAAAAAGGCAAACTGTAAATCCCTAAAGGCAAACAGACTTTAAATTAATATAGTTGGAATAAACCAGAGGTTAACATACACTGTCACAATAATAGACAATCTCTTTTTCTCTGGCTTTCTGATATTAAATCAGACTAAACTATTCCTGTTTTAGGTGAATTAATCATTTTGTAAATCAATACCATTTGCTAAATATCACAGTTATGAAAGTGTTTTTTTTTTTCAAATTTATATACTTTTTAAGTATCTGTTCAAAAGTTTCTCCAATTGAAAGGGTTTATGCCAACTCATTGGCAATGGCAGGTTTATGCATCTTTAGTCTGTTTTGTTTTAAAGCACTTTTCTTTAGTAGCAGTCAGTTTTTTTGTACAGGTCTCATATGGAGAAAGTATTGATAATCCGCCACCGCCACCAATTTACAGCTCCTAACTCTCAGGAGGCTCTCAATGTAAAGGGGATGAAGGTGTAAAACACCTTAAAATAGTATTTAGATAAGCTGCTTTTGAGATTGGAACCGTTTTATAACGATATTTATTCACTTTGGTCTTAACCCCTCTTGGTCGATGTTAAGCTTCAGCTTCTGGGACAAACTAATCTGCACTTACACTAGGCAAAAACCTAAAAAATCCTAAACTTTCCCTTTAATAGCTCTATAAGAAGGCCTGTCATTTCTCTTAAAGTTGTACAGACAGACCTATTTTTTAAACCTTAAAATAGTTTTCCTTTGCCACACCTGACTGTATTAGATTAGATGTTCGTTTAGCAGTTTTCTTGACCCAATAATGCATTTAAATACCCAACAGGAGAACCAGTGTTGTGTCTCAGGAGAAAAGAATCCATTTTAAGATATTTTGTTGCTGGTTTTTATTACTTAAAGACCTCAGTGTTTATTTGTTGTCAGTGCCTAAAACTATTTATGTTTTTTCAGTCATCATTCTGACCTTTTTCTTAACACACCGTTAATTCTACTATTAGGGATAAGGACTGAGTAGAAAAAGAAATGAAAAGACAGCTGCAAATTAAAAACTTTGCTAAATTCTCCGAATGCCTGCAGAGATATATCAGTCAAGACTAATTTAATCACATGAATGTCAGGCCTCTTGAAAGGGTCATAAAAAGAGGAGTTGTGTGTAGTTTGAAAAACTCGTTAGTTTACCATGCAAACTCAGTTTTTAGAAAAATTATTATAAGCCTTTAACTTTCTTTTTAAATTTGTGAAATCACAACTGCAGAAATCAGTGTATTCTACTATTGAACATGAATACAAAGGAGACCTGGAAGAAAACCAGTTAGAAGCTGTAGAGACTTGGAAGGAGGTTCAACTCCCAGTATGCTACCATGGTTACCATCAAATGGTTTAGATCAAAGCACATTCATGGTTTAGAGTGGCCTAGTCAAAGCCCATGTTAGAATACCTCTCCATCTAATCTCACAAGGCTTGGCCTATTTTCCAAAGAATGGGTGAAAATTCTACCCCTTCTAATTGTGTGGATTTTAGTTCGTTTAAAGCACAACGTTGCGTTGATCTTTAAAGTCTTATTGTGTTTTGTGATTTCACCAACTGAAGAAGTTCAAGGGAACTAAAAATTTTTACGAGGGACTGCTAATGCTTTAGTAGTTTTACCTTTTTGTGCCTCAGAGTGAACTGCCTCGTCACGTACGCCAGGTTACACTCCTCTGAGTGACACTTCACCGACAAGTGGCCATAATCCTTCACCTCCGGCGGATGTGGCCAGTACTGGTGGCACTTGGTCTGTAACACGTATGACATCACCAACATATGCCGTTAGTTCTGACACAATTCAGTATAGCGTCGCTGTTCAAGCAGGAGCTGAGCTCCGCTCTCAGGTAATTAAACTCATATTCAAACAGCCACCTCTGATCTGAAGGGCAGCCTGGGGGACAAAAGCAATTCATCAGTGGCAACAGGACGAGAGCTGAGAGCCAATTCATGTACACAAGTCCGCAGACAGTAAGGAGAAACTCTGGACACTTTTCTAGATTCAGACACAATGATCGATTAATGAGAGCATCTGGTTTCTAAGCAACAAGCAAGCTGAGACAGAGGCACGTTCACGCTCTTCGCCTGCGTCGGATTATTTATCTCATCGGCATCTGGCTCACACTCGTGTTCAGCCTTTCTTTACACAGTGAATCCCAGTAATTACTCACAACTGAGCCATCTGATCATCGTTGTGTGCAAACATCACCGCTGAACCCCCTCTAATCACTGTAATCAAAATGAAACCTGACGCAGCATGTAATAATTTGCCAGTAGTGATGCACTAATTGCTACATTAATGCATCACTGACATTGAGTTGCATAATCTTAAGATGCTTCTGCAAAAAAAAAGCTGTTTCCCTGCTTGTAAAAACAAATGAGAAAGCATGGTATACCCGTCCCCTCTCTGTTAGAGTTGTAAGCATGATGATGGTGTGTGTCTGCTGCTCCCATACAGTTTGCCAAAAATGAGTGCAGGTCTGTGGTAGTGGACCTTGAGCTGCGATGTAACGTAAACACACACCAGACTCAGGGGGTGCCACCTGAGAGACACACATACACACACACACAAGATGAACACAGGGTGAGTTTAGGCTGAGAGGGGAACAGGGAGAGGAGACGGTTTTCAGGTGAGTGATGTTCACCGTGATGTGGCTGGCATTTATGTAGTCGTCCTTCCCCTGCAGCACCACTCGGGTTTCATCGTCTGAAACAGAACAGGACAGCAGCAGGTGAGGGTCAGAGCAGGGCTGTCGAGAGTTAAATTTCACGCTGGATCCAGGGGCAGAGAAGAGTACGAGCATGGCATGCAGACACGGTGTGGAGCACTTACAAGGCAACACGTCTCTGTAGCGATTCTTTTCCTGGTTCTCAGGCTGCCGTGCACAGCATAGGGACAAACCAGGCTTCCTCTTGTACAGATTCTAGGAATCACAAGCATGCACACGCAAACAAACATGCATGTGAAAATGCACTGTAACATACACAAGCATGGGAATTACAAGAGTTCAAGGTCACTGCTGCTGTTATGAGCAGCATCCAGCTAAAGATTAGGGACAACATCTGTCCTAAAAGCAGCACTTTGAGATGCACAGAGGAATCGGATGATTTTTGGTTTGATCACAGCTGACCTGCAAATATCCAGCTCACAGCAGCACTCTTCAATGTGGAGGCTGTGACTGAGAGGGGAAGGCTAAATGTAAGCAGTTTTTTAAAATGTGGTCGATGAGGAGCTGAGATGGAAGAAACTATTCAACAGGAAGCTTTTGTATCACAGGACAAGACATGTAGACATATACTGGATTTGGAAATGCTCACAGCCTTTAGTTAATCTCATTGTGAAGGTGAGTACATACAGTGAATTAGGAACAAGTGGTACACAGTCATGAAGTGGAATGAAATTTATTGGATATTGTAAATATTTTAGCTTTCAATGCAGCAAACTTTCCAGACGTTCAGTGAGGATCTCTGAATGATCCAACGTTGACACAAATGACTGGTGATGATAAATAGAATCTACCTGTGTGGAATCAAGTCTCAGTATAAGTGACCTACTCTGTGATAGACTCAAAGATGTGTTTAGAGGGCAGGGAACATCATAAAGAACAAGGAACACACTAGCTGGGTCTGAGATACTGTTTAGAAGTTTAAAGCTGGGTTTGGATACAAGAAGATTTTCCAAGCTTTAAACATCCCAAGGAGCACTGTGCTGGGGATAATATTGAAATGGAAGGAGTATCAGAGCACTGTGTATCTACAAAGACTCGGCCGTCCCTCTAAACTTTCAGCTCAGACAAAGAGAAGACTGATCTGAGATACAGCCAAGAGGCCCATGATCACTCTGGATGAACTGCAGAGATCTACAGCTGAGTGGGACACTCTGTCCATGGGACAACAATCAGTCACATATGCACAAATCTAGCCTTTATGGAAGACATTTCTTAAAGATGTTCATACAAAGTCTTGCTTAAGGTTTGCCACAAGCCACCTGGGAGACACAGCAAACATGTGGAAGAAGGTGCTCTGGTCAAATGAGAACAAAATCAAATTCTTGAGCAACAATGCAAATCGTTGTGTTCGGCATAAAAGCAACACAGGTCATCACCCTGAACACAACATCCCCACTGTCGAAAATGGTGGTGGCAGCATCATGTTTTGGGCCTGCTTTTCTTCAGCAGGGACAGGGAGGATCGTTAAAATTTATGGGAACATTCTGGAAGAAAACCTGTTTGGTTTCTTTGAAAGACCTGGGATTTATCTTCCAACAAGACAGTGATCCAAAACATAAAGCACCATCTACACTGGACTGGTTCACAAATAAACATATCCAGGTGTTAGAATGGTTAAGTTAAAGTCCAGACCTGAAATCAATCTGTGGAAAGAACTTAAAACTGCTGTTCGAATGCTCTCCATCCAAACTCACTGAGCTCCAGCTGTTTTGCAAAGAATGGACAAAATTTTCAGTCTCCATGTACAAAACCGATAGAGAAATACCCCAAGTGACAGGCAGCTGTCACTAATTCATTATGCACACCCAATTTTTCAGTTTTTTATTTGTTAAAGATTTAAAATATCCAATATATTTTGCTTCACTTCATGATTTTGTATAATTTGTTTATTCTTCACAAAGAAATTACAATTTTAAATCTTTACGTTTGAAGCCTGAAATGTGGCAAAAGATTGAAAAGTTCAAGGGGGCTGAATACTTTCACAAAGGAACTGTATGTTCTCCATGGAATATACTGATTTAATTATGCTTATACAAGATGTTAAACCCAGTTTGAAATGTCAAATCCTTGTTTATTATGAACAGTTAATATCAGCTCACAGAATTGATTTTTTAAATAATTGCTTTCCAAGAGAAAGGCTTCACAAAAAACGTAATCTTCAGACTACATCTCTAATTAAAACACTTAACTATGTTCAAACATGTATCCAACTCTTTCAGGTCACATTCCCTTTCAGTACTAATTGAAATACCTCAAAATGGAAAGATAGTGTTCCAGACTGTATCCCTCTCTCTAGCTGCTTCATCGATTCCTCCAACGTGGCGGCCCGGTCCAGCTGACCAGGTGACTGCGGTTTGTTTTCCTGTGCTGGGATGGTGAGCGACAGGGCGGCAAAAGACAGCTGCAGCTGAGGCATGACCCGGCCTGGACCTGGATCACCGGGACAAATTCAAAGATGTGACGAGCACTGATTTGCATCTCTTCTCCAATCTCAGCACTTTTCTCCCAAAGTTGCGCACCTTTTCGTCTGATGAGCAGAGCCAGCTGCCTGGAGTGAGACTCTCGGCTGGCTCGTATGAACATGACCACCTGGTCGTGCGTGTGCTCAGAAATGTCCCGACCATTGATGAGGACCACCAGGTCTCCCTCCTGCAGTCTTGGTTCAGATCGACCTGCCTAAAAAAAAAATATAATACTAATAACAACAAAAATACAAAATGTAGCTTTTATCCCATCAATACAATCAACTATTTCAGAGTCAGTTTTTTTTTTAAAGAACAGACAAAAATCTAATATATATCAGGTTAGGAAAGATTATTCTTTAGCTTTACTTCCAATTAAGTAAATAAAACTGAAGTATCTATAATTGTTTTTTTAATAAGTGGATAATAATCTAGTGAGTAATCTTGGCTATAATTATAAACTGACAGGGGGACATTATCTTAGCTCTTTTTCAAAATGAGCACTACAGATTAAAAATTAATTAAAGTAAAGTAAAGTAAAGTGACCTCCTGGGGTCAACAGATAAAAAAACATTAGATCATCTTCCTTAACCTCTCAGATTATGACCTATAAAATAGCATCAGAATAGGCTATTGATTCTAACCACTGGGTGTGTATACAAACATTAAAAAAATGTTCAAAATAAATGTATTATAATTTTACAAAGGGTCATATTCGTACCTACTTTTACATAAATATTACGGCTGGGTATTTTCGCCAAAGTCCTGAATCGATTCGATTTTGATTCATAATGTTCTAAATCGATTAATTTTGATTCGATCTGTTATTACAATAATGAAAGTGGTTCAACTGTGTTTCAAAATACTCATGTATTTTGTTTTTTCCTGTCACATTAAACACAAAGTAGTAACTTGTAAATCAGACCAGTTTAAACATGAGATGTGAACAAAACTGTCTCATAAGAGCAAACTTGTTTTTGAAAAGTGAAAAAGTGAAGCCTCACTCGAGCAAGCAGACATGACACAGCAGACATTAATGAGCTGCATTATCTTCATTACACAAACCATATTTGCAGAGTTGTGTGACAACTACAGGGTGTTTTCTGGTCAGCCCCCATTTGTTAATGTCTTCAGTCAAAATATTGGTTATATTTGCAGCTGTCTGGCTTGAAGTAATCTTGAGTGCATCTTTCCTGCTTATTTAAATGTAAACGTCACGCGGGTCACTATAAATTTAATCGATCTCATTCCCTAGACATCGATTTTGCAAAAATGTAAAGCAATGGATTCAAAAACTATTTTTTTACCCAGCCCTAATAAATATGCCTGGACATTATCTTTTTAATTCTTTAGATTAACTTCTGTATAGTGCAAGATTCAAATTTCCCGTCCTTGAGAGCCTGTGTCCTGCAAGTTTTAGATTCATCCCTGCTTGAACACATCTGAAACAAATATGTCAGTAGCAGCACTCTGGAGAATTTGATTGCAGCCATAGTAAGAAAATCAGCCATTTGATTCAGGTGTGTCAGACCAGGGACATATCTAGAAGTTACAGGATTCCTTGTTGATCCAAGACCACTGAAGAGGACCCAGACCCAAAATTGGGAACCAGTGATCTACATGACCACCAGCTGTTTGAGATACAAGAAAAACTAAACAAACAATAAAAAAACATTCTTGTACAACTATCAAAAATATCAACAGATAGTAACCTGGACTAAAGTTGGACTTAAACCATCTACTTTCATCAGGTGAAAACCAGCTCTTAATCAGTTTTGACTTTCTGCATACTGTATGGGTTTTCTTAAAAAAATAAATAAATAATATATATATATATATATATATATATANTATATATATATATATATATATATATATATATATATATATATATATATATATATATATATGTAGGCAGATTCTTTGGAGTTATACATTTAAAACAGCCTCTTACATTAGAAAAAAAATGTAATTTCAGGGTGATAATGTGATACCTGACCCACAGGCAGGGAAAATACTCAGCATGCTGCCAAAAACTAAATGAGATTATTCAATCTTTTCATTTCTGTGTTATGAGCATATTTTTGTCAAGCTTCAGAGACAGACACATTATTTCCCCCAGAAAGCTGTTGATTTAGTCTTCTATCGCTTTCACACACTCCATTGTTATTGAGTGTTCCCCTGAATGTGGACTTAAACATCAGCATAACAGAATGTGAAAGAGCCCTTTAGTTTCTATGATGTAATCCTGGATTATTCTTTGACCTTGCAGCAACTCAGAGAGCAGCGATTTTTCCTGGACAGCAGGGAACAACCCTGGCTTTACATTTCCTTCAATTGGACTTTCAATCTGTGTAAATGATCTTACCGGGGAATCAGGTTTAACGTGTGATATTGCCAGAGGCATCTTCTGATCCACTCCACCCTGGTGAGAGTACAACAACTTACTCAATACGGGGAACAATTAACCCTTACATTCAAATAAGTGACTAAAAGATAGACAGAGACGTACTTTAACATTGAAGCCAAATTTGCCCTCGTGGTCTGGAGTGATGCATATCAGCATGAGGTCACCGTCACCAAGAGCATCCTGCATCAAGAACTTGTATGTGAATGTGCACATTGAACAGGCACAAAGTAATGAAAAGTTGTTAAGAAAAAAGAACTACTTTATTGTAGAAGGGTGGGCTGTCATCTTCTCCTATGCTGTCTTCGGCTTGCAACAAACCCTCACCAGTTCCCCGACTGTTGGAACCAGAAAAGCTGAAAGATGCACAATATTAGAGATTACTCTGAGGCTGTAGGGTTCATTAAAGCGCAGCTGATTTCATTTACAGAGCTCTTCTGCTCTTTGTGATAGCTCTTGTTATTAAGTAGAGTATAATTGAAAAGTGAAAGGAAATACATGGTTTCTAAATATTCCACTAGCCATTACAGCTGCTAATGTTCCAGTATGCTTCTACAAGCTTTAAAGATCTAGAAATGTAATTTTTTCCCCTCCAGTCTTTACAAAATGATCCAAGATCAATCAGTTGGACCGGATTTGTGATCGGTAGTGAAGCTTAAAGTCTTTTGAAGAGCAGAAATGCTTTCCCACAGCATGATGCCGCCAGCAACATGTTTCATAGTAAGGAAGGTGGATTCATGCGGATGTACAGAGTTTTAAAGGTATAGTGGAGGTTTTTCGCTACTTTGTGAAAAGACCGCCCACTCCATTAAAAAAAAAAAAAAGCACATGCTCAACACTGTACTCGCTCCCGAGAGGGAACGCCTATTAAACGCATGTGAGAGCGTGCACAAGCCCATTTCTCCTCATGCACGCTCAGTTAGAAAGTTGGTGTTTGCATCGCTCATACAAGCTTACTTTCCAAAAGAAGATTTGCAAATTTTCCATTATGTCAGACTCACCACCAGTGTTATGCAGAGTGATACCTGCTTGCCGAGAATAACCTCCCCTCTCGCACATTCATGAGAATACTGATTGAAATATGAACGAAAAGGGAACTTTTAAACATATTCTTAATATTTTCATATTTCTTATGCGTGAATGCCGTAAAAGTACGCTTTGGTTGACAGATAAATGCTAATATTTTCCTGCCTGCCGAGCCTTACCTCCCCTGTCGCGGCAGCGTGCATCGACCTAAACTCTCACACATTGATGAAAAAACGGATTGAAATATGAATGAAAAAGGGAACTTTAAAACATATTCTTAATGTTTTGTCAGAAATTATATAGAATGGTGTTATAACAAATGCGGGAATTTTTATCCACTGAGCAGAGAATCTATTGATTGGACTAAACGTGCCTTCATAAAAGTTAAAATCATATTTATTAGAATTTAACTGTCCACCAAAACTCTAAATTTTAGGGAATCCATGTATAAGAAATAGGAAAACATTAACAATAGTTATATTCATTCAGATTTCAAATCCATTTTCTAATCAATATGCGAGAGGGGAGGTAACTCACGGCAGGTAGGTATTTCTTGGCATAACACCTGTTACCGGTAAGGGAAAATGGGGACAAGCACGTAGGATGGCTTTACATGAACATATCACCAAATTGATTGACAATTAGGAGGATCACTTATTTTGATGATCCACCCGAAAAGAGAAAATCCACCAATATACCTTTAAGTTCTTGTTGGTGCTATAAAAAAAAGTAATTAGCTTGTATTTTTTAACTGCCCTCATGCATTTTAAAAGATTTAATTTTTGGTTATAAAAACATATAAAAAAAGGCACATACAAGGTTTATCTCAATAATATTTATCACAATTTCCGCAAATCTATTTTTTTATTTTAAGATGACTGCCCCTTCACTGCTTATTCACACCACTAACAGGCATTATGTTGATTAAACTTGCCAGGGAATTTACCTTATTTCTTATTTTTTTAGTTAAATTGTACCTCAGGCAGTTGCAAAACCTACAGTTCTCTTTGCTTGTTGAAAGAAATATGAGCAAGAGATTAGCAGCTATTTTGACTAATAATGACTCTTATAGTTACATTTTCACATATAGCACCCACAAATGTTTGTATCACCTCATTCTGACTGATAATATAAATTTAAAGACTGCCTAATGATGCCATGAAAAAAAAACTTAACTATATTGAAAAACATAAAACATCATAAAAATATTAAAACAAAATAGAGAAAACATTTTCCTTTATGAGAATACAGGTAAATATTTACATTTATTTGAATAGATGGACTCTTAGGAAACATGAAAGAGAAAAAACATTATGTGTACTATGACATAATGTTGCTATAAAAATACATTAACAGTTGCTACGGCACTGCATGAGCAGGACTGTTTTCTGTTATACGCACTGATGAGGCGATGCGTCTCCTTCGCTGTCCTTACTGCTGCCCACAGAGGCCCTGTACGTGTAGAAGACATCCTCTCCCTCCGACATGTCTTTCAGGTCCGTGCTGAGCTCCACCGACGATGGGCGGGGCTTCCTCATCTCATGGCGGACTCTGGGACTTCTCCTGCAACATAATCGTTCGGTTTCAACCGTTTCATTTTACGAGAACATATTTCCTACATTAAGCAGCAGCCGTTTTACCAGTTGGGGGTTGATGGCGGTGATCTGGAGGGCAGACTCTTGGTCTCCAGATGCTCTGCTGAAACAGACCTTCTGAGAACTGGGTTCCACACCATTCCTCCAACTACCCTCTGGCACACCGGACCACTGCCATTCAAGAGTCAAATGTTTAGAGAGCAGCAGCTTTAATGCGAGGGAGAAAAAAGGAAATATCTAAGATAAATTGAAAGCTCACTCTTCAGTTTTACTGTTGCTCAGGCCCAGGTGCTGCGTTATCAGCTGTTTGTATCCCTTCACTGTGCTGCTGTTGTATTTGGGAGTTCTGGAAGTCCGGCTGGAGGAGAAGAAGGAGTGATGATCCACACAGGACCGCCATAGGTTCTTACACGTTTTGGGGCAGGGCAGCATCAGGGACACCTCACAGTCTTGGGTCTCCCCCTGCGACTCAGAGTTAAAGGTCTTTAGTGCATTGAAGCTGTACTGGAACCAAAAATAAGTTTGTTGCATTTTTAGCTTTAAATAAAAACTGTTCACTGTTCTATCTACATATTTTTTATATTCAATTCTGCTGGCTCAAGCTATCAACCATTACAAACCAGTTTCTGCATTTCTAAACAAACGTTTATTTATGCATTTCCATTATAAATGCACAAAAAGTATTTCATTTTACCCACAGAAACAATGCCAAACGAAAAAGCAATAGTAAATATCGCATTGATCAACAGTGGTTTTACCAGCCAACCATGCAGAGCGAGGAGAACCACATTTACTGTAACTGTGCCCAGTGGGAACTTATAAAGTCAAAGACTCACGTGTTTACGTTTCAGGTGTACAACGAAGCGCCTCCTTTTATAGGATATCTTGATGATGTTCCCCCTGTTTGGAGGCGTCACATTTATTTTTAAAGAAATGCAAAACCAAAAACGAAACGGATGAGCTGTGGCGTTACTAACCAGGGGAAGAAACTGGAGCAAATCATGTTACAAAACACAGCAACGCCACTCGAGGCCAAACCCACCATTAGAGGTGTATCGCTGGTGTCCTGAGAGACAGAAAGATGGGAAAACTCTGGATTAAATAGTGTACATTTTACACCAATGGTGCCTTTTACACCTGAGGTTGCATTCATGTTAACCCAGTTAAGGATATTTTATCTGCATTGCAAATGTTTCTTAATGAAAAGCTAAACACTTTTGCACAGAATTGAAGTTTTGATCAAAAAAAGTTACAAAACCACTGAGAAAAAAAAGAATATTTAGAATAAAACCACAAAATTTTCCTAAGTTAAAGCATAACCAAAGTAATAACATTACCATGGCAGCATGTAGCTCCACTCCATACAGCTCCAGCGTCCGTGCAGTATTGAGAAAACACAGCTCCGCCTCACTCTGCTTAAGCCCCCTAGGAACAAACACACACACAGCTACATTCCAGAACCGGTTTGTGCAACAAACCTGCTGTTCTTTCCATTAGAGGTACCGAACGTACTTGTGCTGTGGATGCAGATCCTCCACTTTAGAAAGGAAGTCTTCATCCTGCTCGGGGATGAAGTGGCATTTTGAAAGGTACCCAGGTTGTCTGGATGGAGAATGATCCCCCATCTCCGCTGCAGGTGATGGAAAGATACACTGATCATATAAAGGGAGACATGAAACCCCACCAACTGCTGGATAAAACCACTGATGGAGGCCTCCCAGAGGTATTCACTCAGGCAGCTGTCACTGAGTCGCTAATCATCTTATTTTCTAATTTAAAGGAGAGATGGGACTCACACTGCACCGCGTAAGAAGCCAACACTACAGCTGCACTCAGCGGACACTGCAACCTGCAATCAGACGCCGTGATTACACACTGAACGCTCCACAGCTAAACAAATAGTGAGCACTACAGGAGGATGAGACCCTCTTTGTGCAGCCAGACAACTGACCGTCCTTCCCTGATGTCGCTCCTGATCTGGAGGAAGTACAGATGCCTGCAGGGGACAACAAAAGAGGAAGTTTATCAGCCCACACCTGTTTTGCATACCCTGAAAAGGCCTCTCTTTGACACGCTGGTGCTGTTAGGCACACCGGCAGCTCAGCCATCAGAGGATACAACTGCAATGAATCAGAATCAGAAATACTTTAATAATCCCAGAGGGGTTATTAAAGTATTTCTAAGTATGTCTAAATGAAATATTTAGAGAAGACAGAAAGTATGAGGTGTTTTCTACAGACTTAAAATAAGAATTTCCATGGGAATTGTGGACCACTAATACGTCTGAAACATTCAGGTTAGTCTTAAAGTAATAAGAAAATAATCGTTTTCCAACAAAATGAAAACAGACCGGAAAAATGCGTGATCCAGATCAACTATCCATCAGGTATGTTTCAACTCTACAACCACAAAACCTTCATCGCCTGGAACTTCTATAACCTAAATCCTTAATCTCCTGCTTGCTGCACGTTTTCCCATTGCAGGGTAGCTGTTTATGCTACATAGAGGGTCACTCCTCCTATTTTCTCCAAGAAGATTTCTGCTACAGACAGAAAGCGAATAAAACCAGTAACAGACTATATTCCTCACGTGTAAAACCTGTGAAAATTTTATTTACATTCATTAATTATCTTGATCACTTTTTTATGTGATGTACTTTGCAACAGATTGTCAAAATACTGGATTTGGCCAAATTTGCAATTTCATGAATCGTATCACAACCTAAGCCATCAGTTTCTCTGAGCAGCTGTCCAGCTAACAGCAGACAGAAAATTATGTTGACAAAAAAATGTTTAAAAAAGCAACAGAAAACAGAGGTTAAAATTTTATTAAAGAAATTTGTCAATAGAAAAACTGGGAAGCAATAAACGGGAAGAGCTGGATGCAGAAAATTTTTTAACACAAACAACATGGAGGGTGATGAGTGTCACGACGCAATAATTAAATAACTTAAGAAATATTTACTTAAATGATTCGTTCACTTCTTAAAACCAGCAATAAATACAGAATTTATTCAATAAATATATAACTAATTATAATAACATATTTCTATTTTATTTTAAGAAAATATATTTATTTCATGATTCAATTAATTATTTTGTGTTCCTGCTCTCATATATCTATTGACTCTAAAGTCAATATATCGCTGAAAAGGGGGGAAATAACTTAAAAAGATTTTTACAATAAAAAAAAATTGTTTAGTCAGGAATACCTATATCTAATAAGACTATAAGAGAGTCTATTGTGGGGAGCGCTACCATTTATTGCTGTAAATAAATGACAACACGTCTTAGAAAATTAATTTACAACTTTTATAGCAAACGTTTAACTATAGAGTAAAAGAAAACCAGGAAGAAGTGGTCTAATCTTGGTCAGTGAGAAGCAGCCAATCAGACATCAGCCTTTCTATTCACCTCCTTAACTTTGATAGATATTTCATTTAAAATTAATTCATGGTGTGCTTCAGAACGGGAAAATTAAATAATTTATTTTATCATGAAATACATATATTTACTTCTTCAACTAAAATCTATGTATTCCCCTGAGGCTCACATAATTAACTGGGTCCATATAAATAATTAAATATTTATTAAAACAATTCTGTTTTTAGTTTTAATAAAATCATGACAGATTTAAATAACTATTGTATAACTTATTAAGTCATTGTATTGTAGTTCCTGCCATCCTCCATACAACAGACTATATAATTCAGCTTAATTGTGTATCTGAAGCAAATATCAAGAAAGAATTACACATGCTTACACAAGTGAGCATCAGATCACATATTCTGTTACAGGCTTTTCCCAATAAACTCCTTAAACAGGTTTAGCACAACATCAACTAGAAATAATGTGTGAATACAATTAAAAAACTATGGCTGAACATAAGAAAACAATTCTCTAGTAATCGGATTTTGTTAACTGGGTACCAGAAAGATAAATTAAAAAGAAAGAAAAAAACTACAAATTCAAGAGGAAAATGTCACACAATTCATGGAAGAATTGATGAGCCTAAATGTCTGATTTGACAGAGCTCAAGGTTGTCGTTTTTTTAAGATTATTAGGAAATAAACCAAAAAGAGGTTTTTACCCAGCAGCCATACCAATGTGAATTCTTATTTTACTTTTTCACTTTAACAATTAAATAAAGTTTATCCTTAAAAAAAAAAAAAGAAAAAAAAAAAAAAAGAGAAACATTTTTATTTTTTGGGCTTCTTAAAAATGCAGATTTCTTGTTAAATCCTAAAGTATTAGCAACATCCCAGTGAGCCTTTTCATGACATCAATCACTAATTAGATTTATCAACAGCCTGATAATGTGACATTAATGTGTGAACTGAGTATTTTAACAGTTATCTTAACAGCTGTAATATGTGAATCCATTTACAGAAACATATTGCTGCTATATAATGACAGGGAGGCATACAGTACCAACCTGGTCTGCTCATGCTGGAGAGAGTTAGGATCGGACATGAAGAATCGCACTCTGAAGTTCAGATAAAAGGGGGAAGCAAGACCTGCAGAGATGATCACATTGTTAAAAATGGGCCTATTATCTATTCAACCAAAAATGTAACCCTCTTTTCTACAATCCTTAGTTTTTGCATTTAAATGTATATTGTGTTGAAATTTTAATAAGTGAGATACCTTTTATCTGCTTCTTTAAGGGCTTCTCTGGCTCTAACCATCTCTACAAAAACAAAAAAATATTTATGAACCATTATAGCAATGCAAAGAAAAACAAACATTCATGTAAGAACCCCCTACGTTATAAACACAATCAGTAAGAGAAAGATATTACAATCTGAGCTCAAATATGAAGCAGATGAAGAGTAAGCTCACTGGAGAGAGCGTGTTGGCTGTGATGGAGGTGATGGCGGTGCTCGACTCTCTGATCTGCAGACTGAAGAGCTGCTTCTCCTGCAGGCCCAGGTGGTTGAATACCAGGTCCAACAGAACCACGCCTTCATCCTGCTTCTGAAAGATGGCAAGAGGAAACCGGCATCACAGCCAGCCAAATTTCCTGGATGCTTATTTGTGCATATTAGTAAATTGGGGAGAACACTACATTCATTTAGACTGAGGTCATATAGTGTACCTTCCACCTTGGTTTTCACATTGTGTTGCATTGCAAACACCTCAGAGACCAAAATTTTTTTTTTTTTGCACGTCTTTGGCCACAAAATTTCAAACTAAATGTGTTTAATCTGGATAAATTGAATGCTTTATGCTGTTGTAGAAACACAAAACACAGAAACATTTTTTTTATTACCCATATATTTTCAATCAATACTAGTTATTGGAGCTTAATGGACAGTCTAAAGAGCAACACTTGGACTTGGCGCCCTCAACATTTTCCTCTCAAACCCCAACAAATTAAATCAAACAGATCCTCTATCTGGTTCTGCAGGTTATGTCTTCCCCTTAAAAGTTTCTCCCCAACTGTCACCATCATGTTCACAGCAACTCTGAATCAAGGTGGAAATCAAATCAGGTCTCCTAGCTGTCAGAAAGAGACTTTTTTCTTTTCAATCATTTGGCACTTCAACTTAATCCTGATGAACTGATGTGGTCCTGGAATTCATTCATAATGAATTTATTTAGATTTTGCAACTTGTTCACTCCTTACTTGCACAGAACCACGGAGTAGGATTAACTAGGAATTAACGCGAACAGATCGAGTCAAATTAAGAATGAACAAATATGAATTGACCTGATTGTCAATTTCAGTGAATAAAAGCACATAAACAGATGATACACATTCAGGCTGAAATGTAATTTCCTAATGGCCATTAGGAGCAAATTGCCTTACTGTAATAGCAGGGATTTTTTTTTTCTCTCATTGGTCTGAGAGGCAACCTACAGCTCATCTACATCCTCCTTCTTGTCTTTCCTAAGAATCTCTGTTACAGGAAGAAGACTCAGGATGAACTTGTTCAATTTAAAGTGCAGCAAACAAACAGACTCCAATGAAACCTGTCTTCTTTATCAAAAGCTATAAAATGTTGAGACTTCGATATTTCCTCATCCATTATAACCAGATTATAAAGTAGGCCACATCCTAATCGCAAAGATCTGTACAGGGCAGCAATGTGTCATGTACATGTAATTCCTCTGTGTGGAGAAAAAAAAAGACTTCTTGAGGTCAGATTTAAAGACAACAGATATTTAATCAGTCACTTGATCTAACCAATGAACTAAGAAAAAACATTTCCTGAATAGAAAGACCCTGAAACATCGGTGGATGCTTTTTTTGGCCCGATAGTAGCATCTTTTTTAATTGTATTAGCAGATAAGTTGTTTTGCATTTGAAGTTAAGTTTTTAATTCTTAACTTTTTTGTCTGGCTGTTAATAAATGTATCCTTTTTGTTAAATTGAGACTATTTAACATTTGTTATCATGGTGTCAGTTTTAATCATGTAGGGAAACAAAAAGGTCAATATCGGCTCCAAGAATTGTCCAAAATATATCAGAAAATATTGGGGATCCTTCAGATTCATGTCAAAATAATCCGCATCTGGACCGGCTTTCAAAAAAAATAAATTAATTAAAATAAAAATGTATTGGCTGATCTCTACTGACCTCAAACCTGGAAGCAGAGATGCTAGAGCAGCGGAGGACCAAACCAGGTACCACTTGCATTACCTATTCACTAAAAACTGAGGCTTAAATTATCACAAGATCACTAGAATTTAATAAGAACAGGAAAAACGTTCCGCTGCAACAGTAGGTAAGGATTTGGAGAAAGTAAAATGAAAGCATGATTCCATCTCGCCTTTTATTCGGGATTTAAGCTGGCGGTGGAGGTATAGTGTTGTTGGGAGATTTCCCTGGCACTCTTTCGAGCCATTATTCCCCCATAAATCATGCCGGCTGAGTATTCTTGCTAACTATATTAATCCCTTTATGATCACAGTGGACACATCTTCAGATTGCTCAAAGATCTTGTCTTAAAGAGGTATTGTTATAAACTTTAGTATGTGCGGAAAATGGCATTTAAAGCATCCCACAAGCTGAAGGAGAGTATGTCTTTCAAGAGGATTTCAGGGAGGGGGAGAGATGAATCAGAGCGCCATATATCCCTGAGATTCATAGCGAAAGCAGCACGTTTCCAAGTGTTACGTACGCTGACTCTGAAGGTCTCGATGGTGCCGTCCAGCAGCTGAACAAGGCAGAGTAGGTCCGGCTTTGGCATGTCTGTTACCACGGTAACCCCTGCCTCCCTCTTCAAGACAAACACGCCGCCCTCGCCTCACTGCTGAGAGGGGACCTGGACACACACACACACATATATATTACCACAAGAGTGTCAGATGTTCCCAAGCTGTTGTCCTTCCAATGAAGGTGCCTCATTTGGGATGACACTGCACTGTGATTAATACATGCTGCTGGATGCAGATTCAGCTTGAAGTGAGTAATGCACTGTGAATGCAAAGGAGTGACTGACTGTGTGTAATCTCTTATTATTTGGCCTGGGTCTGAACATGTCTCTTCCCTCCCTCCCTCTCTCTCTCTTTCTGTGTGCATCTCTCCGCCTTTCGAAAGCAGCTGAATGATAAGAATGTTAAACATTTTCAGATTTGAACACGCCCCATCACCAGCACTTCTCCTGGGAGCAAAACACATACAAAATAATCACATTCACTACAGACGCATGCCCTGACTGTCTTGAGTGCATCCAACCCATGTGTGTCTGTGTGTGTCCCTACATGGGTCCTGTCTTGAATTTCCAGGTGGGTTGATCTGGCTCCCTCTGAAAAAAAAAAGGACACACAAGGGTCTGGGTTAATGTTTGAACAAGGTGACACACTCTGAATATATTAAAACTGAGCTGTTCCCAGTTGAGTGGCCTTTTTTTCCACAATAATCCCCTCACAAGCGGCCATCTAATGAATTTACAAGTAGATTATAAAGGAAGTTGGTTATTATGGGGAGATTGTAAACTCACTGGCTGCTTTGCATCTTATCGTGATGGAGGTGAAGTTTGTCAAAGTTCAACAAACAAACATTTTAGCTTTTATTTCCCCAAGTTCCTCTGAACTAGAGAACAATCTGTTTTATTTTAAATATCCTCCAGTAAACAGGGCCGAAATCAGGCCCAGGTTTTAGTTTCCAGGCTTCCGAGCATTGAACCCTGCTGTGACCTCGCTGTACTTTGAACAAGGAACCTGTTAACAGCCCGGGTTGCCGTACAGCTACACCCAGGCAGGCGGGAACACACCGCGGACAAACTTTCCTCCAACCACTGGGCGGTCGTGTTTCGGGGGCGGCTCGCTACAACGGCTCCCGTACAAGTTCAAGTTTTTTCTGGGAAGAGAGAGAGAAAAATGTTACAAAACAGAGCAAAAAGAAGCTGTACTACCTCGGCGGTGTCGCGTCAGAGACCGAGGGTATATCCGTCCGAGTGTCCGCCGTCAGGAGCACAGGACGGGGCGCGTCGGAGAGGCCAGGTAGAGTTAGGTAAATATCCGGGACAAGTTTCACATCCCTGGCTGCAGTGACTGCGCGCGGCCCCGCCCCTGCGCGCGGGCGCGCTCCCGAAGCTAGAGGCCTCCAGAGCGCGCTCGTTAGAAGACATATTACCACCTCGGCTCAAGTTTAATTCAACACCCTGACTCATTCCTTATTGTAAACTTTATTTTTTTTTAATGTTTTATACATGATTTTTAGATATTAAAGTAATTGTTAAAGTTGAATTTAAAGTAAAAGAAAAAAAAATCTGTTTCTCAAACGGTGAACTAATGCAAGGCCATAAGAATGCACACATTTTTGACAAGGACAAGTTCATACAATTACTGTCAGAAAAGACGTGTTGCTTTCAGCACTCACATACCATCATAAATTACACCTACTTCTGCATTTTACTTCTGGTAGACTATTTCCATAGTCTGAAACATAAACACCACATCAAACCATGAAGGACAAATTATGGCAAGACCATTATTTTTTAATTTACTCAAGTTTATACAGTAAATAGATAAATCAAGTATAAATAAATGTCTTTGTGGGGAAAATTTTGCTGTCAGTTGCATACTAAATCTTATCAAATGCAATAGATAACCAAGATGAAACTAATGTAAAAATTTTGTAGATACAGTAAACCAAGATATTAAACACATCCAATGAACTATACCTGGTAGTTAAATATGGTTGACATCATCTGCTAAATAATTCTCACCCAAAATGTTAAACTCTAAGGCATTTAGCAGATTTTCAAGATTTTAGAAGTACCTAAATATATAGAATATTTCTTGCTCAAAACTTCTGCGCTCACATACTATCATAAATTACACTTACTTCTGCATTTGTGCTGGACTATTTTCATAGTCTTTGAAAAATAAACACCACATCAAACCATGAAGGACAAATTATGACAGGAGCATTATTTTTAAATTTGCTGAGGTTAATTCACTAAATAGAAGATGTCTTTGTGGGGAAAATGTTGCAGTCAGTTGCATAATAAATCTGATCAAATGCAATAAATAACCAAGATGAGACTAATGTACATTTTTTATTAGATAAACCAAGATATCAAACACATCCATTGAACTATACCTGGTCAATAAAATACAGTTAATTACAGTTGACATCTGCTAAATAATTCTCACCCAAAATGTTAAATTCTAAGGCATTTAGCAGATTTTCAAGATTTTAGAAGTACCTAAATATATAGAGTATTTCTTGCTCAAAACTTAATTTAAGTCAGCCTATCTAGCTATTATTTACTCTTTTGCAACTGCAGACCTATAGGTTTATGTAAAAGCAGAATGTTGTAATAACAGTAGACCAGTGTAATAAAAAACTGTGGACTACTTATTGTCGCCCTCTACAGGATACGCAAAGTATTACTCATGAAGTGTCAGGCAGAAAAAGTTTAATGATACATTTTTATTTAATGTCTGAGATTCTAATAGATTAAATGAAACAATAAAAAACAATAATAGTTGTATTGACTAGTGTGTGACATCTTAACATACTAGGTATTATTATTATTATTAATAATAATAATAATAATAATAATAATAATAATAATAATAATAATACATTAATAATGCACTTTTCATTCAAAAGGATCTCAAAATGCGAATGCGTAAAAACATTAAGCAGTACTAAAGGAATTAAAGGCTGGTAAAATGCTTCAATTATTTAAAAAAATGTATTCTGCTGAGAATATTTCTAAAACTCCTTTGTAAATCCCTCAATATTTAAAGCCCTTAAGGGCGTTCCAAAGATGTGGGGCAGCAATAAAGAAAACCCAAAACAACTATATTGCTAAGCCTTTTCCTGGGAATGAATAGTGGATTGAAATAGTCAGCTTTGCTAGGACCCAGGACACCACAGTCTTTTTGGCCCGGTCTTTTTCTGCATGGTTTGTTTCATGCACTGAAAATCTTTCATGAAGCTTTCTGTATTTTATGTTGGGTATTTTCATCCTATCTATTGAATTTAGTGCACTAGTTGATCTTTTCTTTACTTTATAAGAGAACAGCAAGCACGGCAGGCAAAATATGGCTTTTTTTTGACCTGCTGTATATTAGCCAGTCCCTAAGAATTTTCCCCTTTTATCGTGGGAGATAGAATAGGTTAGATACTTTGGGGATTCTCTGCCCTATGAATCTGCTTCTACGCAGCTGGCTTTCGCGCTGTCGACACCTGGATAGTTATTACAGTAAAATGCAACATGTCCCAAAAAGATTATTTTGAATTATAATTTAATTATAATTGCTGTAAACAGAACACAGATTATGTATTAGATTAAAATGGACAAAATACAAAAATATATCCAAATTTAAAAAATGTACCAATTCAAAACAAAAGAAGATGACCACAACAAAAAAGCACTCATGAATTGAAAGGTGTATGCCTTCAAGTGACGTCCATTAGCAGAAATGACTCACAACTAATCTAAATGCAGAAAGAGAAACTGCTCATTAAGGTCTAGCCACACTTCCTGTCATACTGAGGTCTTGATTTGAATGGGATTTTACAATACCTTAAATGTATAGAGGACAATCTTATATTTCCGGATGGATAATCTAAATAAGTGGTCCTCCTAATTGTCAATCATTCTGGTAACAGCTTTACATAAGGCTGTGCTACATGCTATTCCCGTTAACTGTCTTTTTCTATGAGATATGGTTTTAGACAGTCATTGAAGCTCACCTTTCTCACCGCGGTACTTTAAAAATGGCAGAGGGTCATAAGAGAAACAGTGTCTACGAAGTGTATGAGAAGAAAAGAAAGGCCTCATAAGAGAAAGATATATCTTCGCAAAGCTTTATAGGATTTGCTGTCACACCGACCCATTGTCACTACCTGACAGTGGCAACTAATAACAAAGATGGCATCGGCAACCGCGTAGTGGACATACAGGGAAGTAATCGTTCGGACACTGTAAGCTTGTATCAGCTATGAGAATAGCAAATTTTAAAGAGAGCATGCATGAGGAAAATTGGCTTGTGCATGCTCTTGCACACTTTCTGTAAGTGGAGAGGGCTTTCAAAAAATTTAAGAAAATCCTCCACAATACCTTTAATTCTTTTCCTCTTCAGTCAGCCTGTTTTAAAGGAATAGTACACCCAAAACATGATTAGCCTTCATTTTCTACTCACCCCCATGCTGAACAACACTC